CTGGGTGTCGAAGTTACAGGAGTACTCTGGAACGATTAACCAGGCCGGGTGTGACCTCGGGAAGCTCAGCCCGTCTTAGCCTTGGGTTGTTGTTAACTTCTCTATGGGCATTGGTTGCTTATGGAAGTTTTATACTTTTAGTCGTTCCACTACATTAGCACGGTGTGATTGTACTGTGTTCCCATATGCGTCTAGCAAGACGCAGTACAAGTGTAGTATCGAAAGGTTACTAACGTAACCTTGGTTCCCTGAGATACGGGAACGAGTACTGCGTTGCTAGCCGTGCTATGAAGCTGCACGACTCAGTCGTCACTTCAGTCGAAGTAACCTGAGAATCCTGTGGCAAACGCCCGCTTATATAGCCAGATGCCCCGCCCATTCTGGCGGGCTTTGGCTGGCTTCGTCACCATAGGCTCGTGCAGCGCCGCTGCCTAGCCATTAGTTCGTTTTTAATACACTGCACGAACCAATGGCCGGGCAGAGTCACTGTGTGAATGAAAAGGCTTCAGTTCAGGAGAAAAAAGGCTTTTTTCCAATATGCGTCTAGCAAGACACAGTACTTGTTCCTGTATCTCAGGGAACCGAGGTTACGTTAGTAACCGAGTACGTTTCAGTAGGTCTTCACACTCGTAGGTCTTCACACGAGGAGGCTGAACACGAGGGCTGAACGCTTCCGCTGACGCTTCCGCCTCAGCTGACAGACAACAAACAAATACACAGCCACCCGACACTTCAGAGAAAACAGCTGTGGCCGCCTTCTTAAATTAGCACACCCAAAAACCTATAGCAGGGCAATTGCTCAAATCGAAACTGAAGTTCGCACTTAAGTGCAGGAACAGAGCAATATACAGTAAATAACAAAAGCTATTTTTTAGCCGACGGCTATTACAAATAAAGTGCAATCAAACATGCAAATTACAATGAAAAATAGCAGTAGAAATAGCTAGAGAACAAAATAAACCTTCTTAGCAGCAAGTAACAATTTAAACAACAGATGCAGACACAAAGTATTAAGCAAACACTCACGCGCTCCCGCCTGCTCTGCTGACTGATCGCTTCTCCCAAAGTTTGAGAGTGAACAAGCAGTTTAAATAGGCTACGGTCGCTGTGGCCGCCTTGTTAAATTAGTACACCCAAAAGCCTATAGCAGGGCAATTGCTCAAATCGAAACTAAAATTTGCACTTAAGTGCAGGAACGGAGCAATATAAATAGCAAAAGCTCCTTTTTAACCGATGGCTATTACAAACAAAGTGCAATCAAACATACAAATTACAACGAAAAATAGCAGTAGAAATAGCTAGAGAACGAAATAAACCTTCTTAGCAGCAAGTAACAATTCAAACAACAGATGCAGAAACAAAGTATTAAGCAAACACTCACACGCTCCCGCCTGCTCTGCTGACTGATTATTATTATTATTATTACTATTATTATTATTATTTGGGGGGGATAACAAATTCATTTAACTAATCTAATAAAGTCCCTACAAGTCCCTACAGTCCCTATCAAGTCTCAAGTAAGTCAAGTCTCAGTGCAAACAAACCAAACAAGTCAAGTCACGGCACCATCAGAAACAAGGATATTTTATTTTTGTCACAACCTTATTTATTTTTACCTCAGAAATTCACTTCCTAATTATACATTTGAAATAATCATAATTTAAATATTACATTTTGAAAATAGAAATATGAAATTAAATGATATTTTTAAATATGAAATTAAAACTGTCAGTAGGTGTTGGCAAATCACTGTCTTAATGAGCGAGTCAGAGAAGTGTTCATTCAACTGATTCATTTAAAATAGCTGATTTGTTTAGGAACTAGACAAGAATGGGTCACTGAATCACTCAACCAATTCATTCAAAACCTCTTTCTTTCAGTAAAAATGTTCAGTGTGTTGCTCTGAGATGCTGTGGCTGAACTGAACTGTTGGCAGCAGCACTGATATTCTAGAAATATTGCTTAATATATTGTGTGTTATAAAATCAAACTCATACTAAGGCCGTTTTGCCGACATATCTTCAATTTTGGGTGCAAGAGAAATATCACTAATCTATAAAAGGGATATTTGACATTAAAGCACTGATTTGAGAGGCAAATGTCAGAAATGTCATTTATAATTATTTTCATTTAGTGTAAGATTTAAGCTAAGTTTGAAAACTACAGTGACTGGGAGGGGACATGTTCGGTTCAATTAGTTTTGTCGTGGCCACAATATATTAATTCGTGGGACTGTCATATTAACTTGTGGCCATCAGATCACTTTGTCGATTTAAGGACATCCTTATGTCGTGGCCATGCGATGTGAAGTCGTGGCCTCAAGATCCTATAATGAGAGAACAATATCCTTTTATCGTGGCCATGAGTTTAATGCGTAAACAAACCTGCGTGACCATATCAACCAGGGATTAATTTAAAGGGGGGTGATTCTTTTCTATTCCCACTGTATGTATTTTATGCATGTACTACACACTACATATACAGACTACACATATACTGTAACTATACAATATCTACTTATCTATCTATCATAGCTGTTGTTATGTATAATTATAGGATTGTCTAGCAATATATCAACTAATATCGTGATATTATCGGTATTGTAACTTGAGTCAAGTCAAGTCACCTTTATTTGTATAGCGCTTTATACAATACTGGTTGTGTCAAAGCAGCTTTACAGTGTTAAACAAGAAAATAGTTTGTCAATAATTCAAGAAGTCAATAACAGAGTAATTTTTCCAGCTAAATTCAGTTCATTGATGATTCAGTGATGTCATCATGCAGTTCAGTTCTCTTCCAATAGTGTCTGTGCAATCAGTCAAGCGTCCCCAACTAAGCAAGCCAAAGGCGACAGTGGCAAGGAACCAAAACTCCATCGGTGACAGAAATGGAGAAAAAACCTTGGGAGAAACTAGACTCAGTCAGGGTTCCAGTTCTCCTCTAGCCAGATGAAACCAGCATGGCGTGGATTAATTCCAGGCTGCAACACAGGTGCAGAGGACTTGTCTGTTTCCCGTGGTCTTGTGCCGATGGTCATCGAGGTGATGGGGTCTTTACAGGGGATCTGTCTCTGGGGCGCATCTAGTTGACATGGTCTCCGCTGACATTCAGGGCTGCCATGTATTGTGTATCTTATCGTATCGTGAGGTACCCTCTGATTCCCACCCCTAGAGCGCTGTATTTCTGTGCTTGTGCAGCGTCATGAAGCGCACAGACTCGGATCACTGGTGCTGTTGGTTCAGTGTCTTGCGTTTTGTTTACCAATTTATGTCGCAATGATTTATTTTTAAAAATGAATTTAATTACAGTTATTATAAAGTCAAGTCAAGTTTCACATCATTGGATCTCAAGTTCAAGTCAATTCATGTAATTTATTTTTTTATTTAGTTAAAGATAAGTTCACTTCCAGAATAAAAATGTCCTGATCATTTACTCACCCCAATGTCATCCAAGATGTTCATGTCTTTCTTTCTTCAGTCGAACAGAAATGAAGGTTTTTGAGGAAAACATTCCAGGATTTTTCAAGGGGTTCAAGGGGATCAAGGGGTTGAAGGTCCAAATAGCAGTTTCAATGTAGCTTCAAAGGGCTCTACACAATCCCAGCCGAGGAATAAGTGTCTTATCTAGTGAAACGATCGTCCATTTCTTAAAAAAATTCAATACTTTTTAACCACAAATGCTCATCTTGCACTAGCTCGACTTCACACATTACGTAGTCCCGTTAAAAAAGGTCACGCGTGATGTAGACGGAAGTACAAACCCATTGTTTACAAAGCAAACATGCAATGAAAGTCTAATGGCCTTTACAAAAAAGGTAAAACAATGATGTTGGACGAAGTTGGAGGAGAAAATTAATTGCTTTGAACCGGAGTACACAGATGAAGAGCTAACCGCACGAGACCTTTCCAACGTGACTACGTAATGCGTGAAGTCACACATGAGCATCGCAGAGCTAGTGCAAGATGAACATTTGTTGTTAAAAGGTATATATTTTTTTTTTAGAAAATGACAGATCGTTTCACTAGATAAGACCCTTATTCCTCGGCTGGGATCGTGTAGAGCCCTTTGAAGCTGTACTGAAACTGCAACTTGGACCTTCAACCCCTTGATCCCCATTGAAGTCCATTGTATAGAGAAAAATCTTGAAATGTTTTCCTCAAACATTTTGACTGAAGAAAGAAAGACACGAACATCTTGGATGACATGGGGGTGAGTAAATTATCATGAGATTATTATTCTGGAAGTGAACTAATCCTTTAAACAAGACTATCACTAGTCAGACTCGACTCAAGTCATGTGATCGAGTCCCCCACCTTTGTTAATAGTTGATTTTAAAAGTTAAAATTGACCCATAGCATTAAAAAGGGGTTACACAAATATGACAAATGCATCCATGTTGTAGATAGACTGCTATCACTGCTGTCTCTGGAGGAATGCTGCTGCTGATCAACATTAAACAATCACTGTAACACTCACTATACTAACAGAAATCATAACATCCAAAGAAACAATATGTATTAATTTTCAAATTACAGAAAATTTGAATGAAACCATTATAAATATTACATCTGTGTTCATACCTCACTTTCAAACTGTACCCCTGTAAAATGTTTTTCACACTATTGAGAAACTACTCAACCACATCTTTATATTAACTTGTCTTTATTGTTTTTTTTCTGTAAATTCTTTCCAGTTGTTATATTAGAGAGGTTGTTCAGAATCGTGTGGGTAGAGTGAATTTAAATGAATTGTTTAGCTTTTGTTTGGGTGGTGAGTTAAAATCTCTATATTACTGATCCTGCTGTGAGAGAGAAAAGCAGAGCTCATACAAACACACAAGGATGTTGTTGTTTTCTGCATGTCACAGAAACAGACGCTCACCCTAAAGCTTAAACACAATCTCAGAGATCATTAATGTTCTTCACTCTCTGCAGGCTGAGTAACTGCAGTATTGAAGAGGAAGGCTGTGCTGCTCTGAGTTCAGCTCTGAGATCAAACCCCTCACACCTGACAGAACTGAATCTGAGCTGTAATGAACCAGGAGACTCAGGAGTGAAGCTGCTCTCTGCTCTACTGGAGGATCCACTCTGTAAACTGGAGAAACTACAGTGAGTGTTATCATGTTATTGAATAATAATTTATCATTTAATGTGAAAGGGATTGTTCACATGAAATTACAATTCTGTCATCAGTTGCTTAAAGTCATTCCAAAACAGTATGATTGTCTTCTGTGGAACATCAAAGATATTTTGAGAAGTGTTTCTGTTTATTTATTTATTTACTTCTATTGAAATAAATTGAATTCTATTGAAAGTAAAAGTGACATGACGTGTGGCTAAGAATGATGTCCCATACTTGGAATTTGTGCTCTGCATTTAACCTATCCAAGTGCACACACACAGCAATGAGTAGTAAACACACACACGTCAAGTCAACTCAAGTCACCTTTATTAATATAGCTGTATAGGCCATAAAGTTCAAACCCTATTTGCTTATTTTATGTTTCATAATAGTATTTTTTAGCAGGTTTACAGTATTAAACAGGAAAGTAGTGTATCGATAATGCAAGAGGATAATAGTAAACAGTCCATTTTTCAGTTAAAGTCAGTTCATCATTGATTCAGTGATGTCATCGTCCAGCTCAGTTCAGTTCAAATAGTATCTGTGCAATCAAGTCGACAATATTGCCAGAAATTAAGTGTCCCCAACTAAGCAAGCCAAAGGTGACAATGGCAAGGAACCAAAACTCCATTGGTGACAGAAATGTAGAAAAAACCTAATGTAGAGAAACCAGGCTCAGTCGGGCGGCTAGTTCTCCTTTGACCAGACGAAACTAGCATGGTGTGGTTTAATTCCAGGCTGCAACACAGGTCAGATTGAGCAGAGGACTCGTCTGGTTCTCGTGGTCTTGTGCCGATGGTCGTCAAGGTGACGAGGTCTTCACTGGGGATCTATCTCTGGGGCACATCTAGTTGATATGGTCTCCGCTGACGTTCAGGGCTGTAGAGGTCGTCTCTAGGTACTGATCTATCATCTGATCTGGATACAGACTGCATTCGTATGACCTCGGAATAAGAATGAAAGAGACTAATATTAGCATAGATGCCGTTCTTCTTATGATGCAGCGAGTACATCGGGTGTTATGGGAAGTGTTCCCGGTTCCGGTTGACCTAATTAATGCAGCCTAACAATACTTTAACAGATTTGAATATTAGAAATGTGTTAGTGTGTTATGTGTAAGCCAGGTTAAAGAGATAGGTCTTTAATCTAGATTTAAACTGACAGGTGTGTCTGCCTCCTGAACAATGTTGGGTAGATTGTACCAGAGTTTGGGCGCTAAATAGCAAAACAGGATCTGCTGCACACACACACACACACACACACACACACACACTGTGAACACACCCAGAGCAGTGGGCAGCTTTTTGCTGCAGTGCCAGGGGAGCAACTGGAACATTCTGTTCCGCAGTAGGTAGAAGGTCATACGGATTTGGAAAAACATAAATAATGACCATATTAATTTTTGGGTGAACTATCCCTTTAAGGAATGAAATGTAAATGGTCCAATACAAAGATTATACTGAATGTGCCCAAGGCAAATGTATGTTAGTACAGTATATACATATAAAGACCACTGGAAAACAATCAAAGTATATAAGTGTAAGCCAAAATGAAACATAGAGATAAATAATTACTGTGACAAAGTTCGGAATATGGAAGGAAGAGGGCAGTGTCAGTTTATGGAGACTTGTGCGTTTATTCAACAAAAATCAGAGATACACAACAAAAGTCGTGCTTTCTGCACTTCCAAACAGTCACAGATGACTCAATCACTTTGTTCCTTGGAGTTAGACAACATTCAGTCTTGGGAAGCCCACAACAGATCTCCATTCCATCTCTCTCTCCCATTTCCTGTTCTCCAGTCGCTCTTTATCTGGTCTCTCCACACCAATTATTGCAATTAGACACAGGTGTTCATCATTTTGCACTTGACCTACTTACTCACCACTCGTCTCCTGACTCACGCCCCCATCACCACATACCCCCACCGTCCAACTCAGGCCGGGGAGTCATCCGGCCTGCCCCCCCGCCCCTTCCTGGAGAGAAAGTCGGCCACAGCCATCTGCGGGTGATCCATGCGTTGGTATCTTTCATGCGGTGGAGCCACTGGAGTGGCATGTGGTCCGAACAGAGAGTGCATTCCGATCCCAGGAGATAATAGCGGATGGTGAGAACGGCTTACCTCCTTTTTGGTCTTGGGTCTCGGACAGGTCACAACTGCTGCCGTCTTATTAATTTGGGGTAGAAACTGTCCATGACCCAAGTGGAAGCCCAGAGACCTGACCTCCACATGCCCAATAAAGCAATTACCCATCAAATCAAGCAATTCGTCAACCCACGGCATTGGATAGGCGTTGAATTTTGACACCGCATTCACTTTGCGATAATCCACAGAGAACCGTACAGAGCCGTCCGTCTTAGGTACTAAAATCAGGCTCGCCCAATCACTGTGGGATTCTTCTATTACCCCCATCCCTAACATTGCCTCTAATTCAGACTGAACCACCTTTTTTTGTGTTCATGTAAATGATATGGCCGGATATTGTTATTGTTTATTTATTTGATAGGGACAATGCATGTTAATTAACATTTGTAGTAATACAGAATGTAAACAAGCCGGATTATAGCAACATTGCTAATTTACATCTGCAGTCCCTAGGCAGGTACACACAAGGACACAGACTCAAATACACATACAACAGCACATAAAAGACATTTTAAAATTTCTAAGTAAAATGTTTACACAACTGATTCGTCATAAGCCAGTTTTTGAAATGATCTTTAAAGGTATGATAAGTAGAACATTGTCTTATTGACTGCGGTAAACTATTCCAATATTTACTCCCTATTACAGATAATACTTTCTGTCCAAAAGATGTTCGCCTATATGGCACCTCACTGTTCCCTCTAATAATAGACCTAGTACCAATACTACAATCTGTCCTCGGTTTTATAAATTCAATTAACGGAGGGGGAGCAAGCCCTTTCAAGACCTTATAAATAAAACATGCATATTTAAAAAAAAAATAATTTTCAAAACTCAATAGATTGTTTTTTTTTAGAATATTACAGTAATGAAATGACAGGGGTTGTTTATCTAACACTTTTATCGCCTTCTTATACAATGATTCTATTGCCTTTAGAGTTGTGCCACTTATAAATGACCAACTATTAAAACAATACTCAATATGAGAAAAAAATCATTGAGTATAAATACAACCTAGCAGCACCGACTGACAAAAAGGGCCTAATATATTTAAAATTCTTTAAATTAAACTTTACAATTACAAACTTGAATGAGATTGATCATGTTTGCATTAGTCGACGGTGGAGGACTGCTTTGAGGGATGTGAGGTTCTTCCGCACGGCAGATGTGGGTTCAGATCATTACTTGGTCCGTATAAATCTTAAGCTCAAACTACAACGACATGAAGGAAGATCTGAAACTGTCCGACCATTTGCAATTGAAAAGTTTAAAGATCAAAATATTGCAGATGTCTTCACCCTTCAGCTTTCCAATCGATTTCAGGCTTTAGCTGATGTGACAGAGATAGAGTCAAAATGGCAAGACTTCAAGGAAACACTGACCACTTGTGCGCAAGAAGTGATTGGCCAAAGGAGTGGAAGGTGGAAGGAAGAATGGATTCAGGATAGATCATGGGCCCTGATTGACCTAAGGAAGAAGGCCAAAATGAAGCGGGATCAAGCTCTAGAGGTTGAGGATAAGGAAACGGCATCACGTGCATATGCTGACCTTGACTGGGCTGTGAAACAGAGCTGTAGGCGAGATAAGAAAGATTGGTTGGAGAAGAAATGCAAAGAAGCCCAGGTGGCCGCAGATCGAAATGATACCCGCACCCTGTACCGAATCATTAAAGACCTATCAGGAGCCTGGAGTAGTTCCTCTGTTCCAATCAAAGACAAGAATGGTAAGTTGCTCCTTACCAGGGAGGAACAGAATGACCGATGGGTTGAACACTTCCGAGAGACATTAAATCAGCCGCTTCCCTTAAACACCTATGACTTTGGTAAGGAGGAAGCGCAGGAGGAGCTAGATGTGGTACAAGGCAATATAACAGCAGAAGAAGTTCAAATTGCCATAAAGTTACATAAATCAAATTAGGCAGCTGGTTTAGATAAAATTCAGGCAGAATTTCTAAAATATGGTGGTCCCATTGTAGTTGCGAAACTTACAGATCTATTTAATGCGTGTTGGCGAATGCAAACTGTTCCTGAAGACTGGAAAAAGGGTACCATCATTAAGCTACCAAAGAAAGGGAATAAAATGGAATGTACAAATTGGCGTGGCATAACCCTCCTGTCTGTACCAGGAAAAGTGTTTTCCACAGTTCTCCTAAGACGATTGCAGGCAGCCGTTGACAAACGTCTCCGAGAAGAACAGGCTGGCTTCCGGAAAGGACGATCATGTAGCGAGTAAATCTACACTTTACGAAACATAATTGAACAATGCGTAGAGTATAAATGTCCACTTTCCATCAATTTTGTCGAATTCAGGAAAGCCTTTGATAGTGTCCATCGTGAATCTTTATGCCATATTTTACAATTGTATGGTGTGCCAAAGAAATTCATATCTGTCTTCCAATCATTGTATAACAATTCCAGCTGCTGCGTCAAGACAGATACAGGCCACACTGACTTCTTTGCCATTGAGACCGGTGTCAGACAAGGATGTATCTTGTCA